GGAAGAGTAGCCAGTGCTCTTAAGCACTGAGCCACGTCTCCAGTTTTTCTCCCTTCCCTTTTTTTTTTTTTTTGTGGTTTTTTTCAAGACAGAATTTCTCTATGTAGTTCTGGCTGTCCTGGAACTTGCTCTATAAACCAGGTTGGCCTCAAATTCAGAGATCCTCCTGCCTCTGCCTCCCAAGTACTGGTACTAAAGGCATGCTTGCACCATCACACCTGGCAAATTTTTTTCATTGTCTTTTTATTTTAAATTGCCTATTCATTTTACATACCAACCCAAGTTTTCCCTCCTCCTGCCCCCTCCCCCAAGAACATCGACTGTATGCCACTCGTGTGCAGGCGCCCCAGGAGGACAGAAGGGTCAGATCCCTTGAAGCTGGGGTTACTCGTGCTTGTGAGCCGCCTGATATGGGCCCCAAACTGGAGGCCAAGTGACTCAGCTTAATTTTGCCTTTGGTATTAAATGTGAAGACCACCACCATACTTGAGCCAGGCTGTGGTGGCGCACGCCTTTAGTCCCAGCACTCAGGAGGCAGAGGCAGGTGGATCTCTGTGAGTTCAAGGCCAGCCTGGTCTATAAGAGCTACTTCCAGGACAGCCTCCAAAGCCACAGAGAAACTCTGTCTCGAAAAACATAACAAAACAAAAAACAAACCAAAAAAAGAGCACCACCATACTTGAGGCAGGCTCTCTCTGCCTCTTATTTTGTTTATAATCAAGAATGCAGATTGCTAAATTCAGACCTGGCTGTTACAGACTTCAGAAATAAATAAGCCTGTTTCCTCTGACAGCACAGCCCTACCCTGATCCAACGGTGCCACCCAATGGTCACATTTCACCGGTGCAAGCCAAGTACGTCCTGAAGGACAGCTTTTCTGTCTTCTGCAAGACTGGCTTTGAGCTTCTCCAAGTGAGTCACTAAAAAACTCCAAGTGAGTGCCTAAGACTTGATGGCTTTGAAATTTGAGATGAAAATGGAAAGTGCCTATGTAGAAAAAAAGTAAGTTTGTAGCAAACAAGGTGCAATGGCTATGGAGAATCTTTCTGGGGGTGTCATGGGGGAGAAGTCTGTCTTTCATTTTTGTTTTGAAGCAGTTTGACTATGTATGTAGTTAGTCCAGGCTAGCCTGGAACTATGAAGCCTAGGCTAGCCTTAGTTTAAAATCCTCCTGCCTCAGCCTCCCAACTATTGGGATTAGCATATACCATCACAAGCTGTCTTGTAAAAATTTTGTTACTTTTTCTAAATTTTTTCAATGCTTATTTTATGTGCATTGGTGTTTTGCCTGCATATATGTCTGTGTGAGGATGTCAGATCTCCTGGAACTGGAGTTACAGTTGTAAATTGCCATGTGGGTGCTGGGAACCCAGGGCCTCTGGAAGAGCAGCCAGTGCTCTTAACTGCTGAACCATCTCCAGCACTTTTTGTTTTGTTGAGATAGGGTTTCTCTGTGTAGTGCTGGATGTCCTGGAACTCACTTTGTAAACCAGGCTGGCCTCCAACTCACATTTCTGCTTGCCTCTGCCTCCAGAGTGCTAGGATTCCAGGCCTGTGCTACCACACCCAGCTGTTAACTTCTTGAGACATGAGCTCTTTGACTTCCTGTCTCCGGCTCTCCAATGCTGGGATTATAGGTGTATATAGTCACACTTGGCTGAAAGTTCTACTTTTGGTGCTGAGAACTGACTCACACACATTAAGTGTGCCCCCCCCACCACACCCCTGTCTGTTGTAAACGCTTTTAGAGAGCTAGTCATTAAAAGAACTTCTGTTCATCTGCACACTGCAGCAGCTCTCTGCAAAGTGGCTGAAACACCAGAAAGGGTGTGCTCACCTGGTGCCCCATGAGCTCTTCGGAGAGAGCTCCTGTTAAATGAAGTCTTCCCTGGTCAGCTGACGACCTTCCCGGGGAACAGCTCCTGAGCCCACAAAGATTAGGAAGCCCTGGAAAGAGTACACTCTGCAAAGTTATAAATAGTGCTCACTGATAAGGGAGAGGGAATATAATTTTTAAAACTGCTTATTGTGTGGCTTCAGGGCACAGGTAAGAGATTAACTCATCCTCTTTGTGTTCTTCAAAATTGTCACTGAATCCCAGTGGTAAAAAGCAATAACCCTGGAGTGGCAGCTAGGGATGGAGTCTAGTCTGCGGAGAGGCAAACTGGGCAAGTCACACTTTGCAAACCTTTTGGTCAAGACTCTCCTACTGTTTCTTGACTGGAAGACCACAGACTTGTTCAATTGTTTTGAAACAGCTTCATGTAGCTCAGGCTAGCTCTGGGCTTGCTATAACTGAGGATAACCTTGTCCTGATCCTCTTGCTTCTACTTCCCAGTGCTGGGATTAACATGTTCCATCATGCCCAGTGTATGTGGTGCTTTGGACCAAACCCAGGACTTTGTAGATGCTAATAAAGCATTCTGTGTATCTTTTTGGTTTTTCGAGACAGGGTTTCTCTGAATAGATTTGGAGGCTGTCCTGTCACTCGCTCTATAGACCAGGCTGGCCTTGAACTCAGAGATCTGCCTGCCTCTGCCTCTCGAGTGCTGGGATTAAAGGTGTGCGCCACCAACACCCAGTTGCATTCTGTGTATCTTACGTTTATAATTTAACTGAAAAATGTGTACTCTCTCTCTCTGTACTATGTAGACCACAGACCAGGCTGGCCTCAAACTCAGAGAACCTCGTGCCTTAGATTAAAAGTGTGTGGTTGACATTAATTACTTCAGTAACATGTCTTGGATGAAAAGTTGCTTAATGCTTGACTTTAGTAACTGATCTCTGCAGTTTTTTGTAAACATTGTCACTTCTTTTTAGGATGGTGGTGGTAGGGTTGAGACAGGGTTTCTCTGTGTAGCCCTGACTGTCCTGGAACTTGATTTGTTGACCAGGCTGGCCTTGAACTCAGATCTGTCCGTCTGTGCTTCCAGCGTTGGGATCATTGGCACTGCCACCATGCCAGGCTCCTTTTGGCACTGAAAAAAAGATACATATGTGGCTGCACACATACTAGCGTGTGGAGGTCAGAGAACAAACTTCCAGGTGTTAAGTTTTTTTTTTTAGGTCTCAAATTCAGGTTGTGGGGCTTTGGCAGCCAGCTACTTACTTTAACTGCAGAGGCATGTCACTGGCCCCATTTGGCACTTAGTATAAAGAAATGGAAAAGGCTGGAGAGATGACTAAGTAGTTAAACACACTTGCTGTTCTTGCAGAGGACTGGAGTTCAGTTCCCAGTGCCTGCATGGTAGCTCACAAACCCCCTAAGTCTTTTCAAGGCTGCCTTCTGACCTCTTTGGACACCAGGCACACAGGCAGTACATATATATCCATGCAGGCAAAAATGCTCAAACCCATAAAACAAATCTTAGATCTGAGTTCGAGGCCAGCCTGGTCTCCAGAGCGAGTGCCAGGATAGGCTCCAAAGCTACACAGCAAAACCCTCTCTCGAAAAACCAAAAAAATCTTGTTTTTAAATTGGTGTGTGGGATTGTGCACTCGGGAGGCAGAAGCAGGTAGACCTCTGAGTTCAAAAGCCAGCCTGGTCTACAAAGTTCCAGGACAGCAGGACTTCATAAAAATAAATGGCGGAAGGGGGTAGGGACTAGCCCCTCCACCCTCGGAGGAAGGTAACGAGAAGACTGCACGGGCAACAACATTGAGCCAGGATTCTAGGTTGCACTGGATAGCAGTATATGGTAAGGGTCACAGCCAAGTCATTAATGTGTACACCGCCACCAGGCACAGGTGACAGAAAGCAGCAGAGCTGTTGGCAGCGAGTGTGCAGCTAGGGCAAGGTCCAGGTGCAGGCCTCACACGGTTGTTGCCCACCCTTGCGTGGGAGGGCTCATTGAGAGAGGGACCTGATGTTGACAGGAAACTCATTTTCTGAATTTCCCTTTCAGGGTTCTGTGTCCCTCAACTCATTCACTGCTGTTTGTCAGAAAGATGGGTCCTGGGACCGTCCAATACCAGAGTGCAGAAGTACGGTCATATGGTGACAAACCCTTTCCCTCGCTGCCACTGTACCCTTTCTGTCTTGTCCCTTCATTTGTACGTATGAAGGCACATGTATGTAGTTAGAGCAGTGGTTATCAATATTCCTGCAGCCCTTTAATGCAGCTCGTGTGTGGTCATCCCCCAACCAGAAAACTTTCATCGTCAGGTTGGAACTCCAATTTTGCTGTTATTAATCATAATATATCCATTTTCCAATGGTCTTTGGCAACCCACATGAAAGGCTGTTCAACTCCAAAGGTTGAGAACTTGAGTCAGAGGATGCCTGGCCTTCTCTTCTACCACCATGCCCCGCCCCCCCATCTTAGTTAGGAAGCACATGGCCATGTCTGGTTTTTGCTGGGTGCTGGGGACCTGAACGCAAGTCTATGCTTGTGCAGAAAGCACCCTATTCTGAGCAGCAATCTCCCCAGCCACTTCTGTGGCTTCTCTAGTCATTCCCACCTCCCTGCCAAGAGAATCATTTATTAGAGTTTGAATCCCAGATTTCCTTCCACTCAAGGCTCTGGACTAGTACTGGGGTAAGGGAAGGTTCTGAAATAACTTCTAAGTGTAAAACGACGCTCTTGCAGACAGAAGAAATGTAGGAAAGAATCTGAGCCTCTTAATGCCTATCAATCTATAGGAAAGTGAAATACTACTGTGTAGGCCTCTCCAGTTCTCATCCTGCCCCCTCCACCATGGGCATACATGTGCACACTCAAGCATAGGACAGGGCCAGCCAGTTATGTAGTGTGCATACCTACCACACACATAAGAATCACATACTCTTAGTAATTTGGAAACAAATTTCTAAAACCAAACAATGTAAAGGGGCTCAGTGGCAGAGACTCACTTGCCTGGCTCATCAGACCCTTCCTCCAATTCTGACCTGGCACACACCCTTGACTCTGCGCATACTATGACAGTACAGTACTTTTGAGAGCAAGCATTGTCTGCTCTTCCTGAGGACCCTGGTTCAAATCCCAGCACCCATGTGGCCGCTCACACTTGTCTATAACTCCAGTTTCAGGTCTTCTGACACCTTCACACATATATACATGCAGGGAAAACACCAATGAACATAAAACTAAAACAGTATTTGAGCCAGGTAGTGGAAGCAGTGTTGGCACACTTTAATCCCAGCACTTTTGAGGCAGAGGACAGAGCAAGTTCTAGGACAGCCAGGCTATGTAGAGACAGTCCCAACAACAACAACAACAACAACAACAACAACAACAAACCAAAACAAACCCGAAAATCAATCACCGTCTCTCACGGTCCCTACAAAATCATGTTTTGAACAGGACCATAGAAACAAGTCCCTTAGTTTACTTGCTTAAGTCACACAGGAACACTGGCTTTTCTTCTGTGGTGAGCTGTGCAACTCAAGTGTTTCTCAATTCCCTGCTCCAGAGAGGCCATAATTCCTCTCCAGGGAAGCCCTTTCAGTGAGGAGCTACCAAGCTGAAGCTATTCTTGCTTTTAGAAGTGGGATTAGTGCCATGCACCTGGCTCTCCAAGTCCTGGAGAGCATTCTGGGACATCTGTCAAATACCCAACCAAGCTACAATGTCCACTCCAGCGTACAGCTCTAAGGCACAAATTCTTCCCTGTTTTACTAGTTGTTGACTGTGGCCCTCCCGATGAACTACCCAATGGCCATGTGAACTACATCACAGGCCCAGAAGTGACCACCTACAAGGCCATCATTCAGTACAACTGTGAAGAGACTTTCTACACAATGAGTGGAGACGGTAAGTACTTTCTTTAGGAGGATATCTGAAACTTTGAGCCCTTGAATATAAACTTCAACCAGACTTTTGGCTAAGGGAGACAAAGGATTAAAAGGCCTTTCTCCCTTGTGCTAAGTGAAATATTACAGTTAAAGTGACTTTAATGTCAATTTGCAAGACTCTGAAAACAGATCTTATCTAGTAAATGACTACTACAAACACACAATATATTCCAAATGGTTTAATTTAACAAGTCAAAACCTTATCATTAAGCACTTGAGATCTTGATACATATTCAAGTTACACATCTAAAAGGTTTCCACTTTGCAAGCAAACATGGTAATGCAGACACCTATTTATGAAATCATGTAAAATGGTTATTCACACACCTCTCCCCACCACAGATGCTCAAGAATCAACATTTTTCAAGGGGTTATTCAAGCAAATGACAACCACAGTTAAAACATTTTTGCTTTTCCAATGATCTGCAGGTAAATATGTGTGCGAGGCTGATGGATTTTGGACGAGCGCCAAAGGAGAAAAATCCCTCCCAGCTTGTGAGCCTGGTAATGGACGCATTTATAAAAGACTCATGGCTGACAAAGAGTAGATGGAGGACAATAGGCAGAGTCTAGCTGGGGCAGGCACACATGGAAGCTCAGCATCTGGCTTAGTCTAGACTAACATAATTCCCAATAAATAGTGTGTTCTCATTACCCCTTTGCTCGTGTTAGCTAGCTGCATCACTCATTTCATTGTTTTTGACCTTATGACTACTACACAAGCATAAAAAAAATGATTTCTTAAATTATCTGAAACCATTTATACCCAAAGCTAGTAACTTCAGTATTTCCCTAAGCAATTGTTTGACAATATCTAGGTTTTCAAAACATTAATACAATTTGCCTTTTAGTAGTATTTAATTCTTTTAACCAGAATTGTTCCCCCCCCCCAAAAAAAACCAAAAACTCATTACCTGTTTTAGCTACTGAAATTAGTTTTCTAACCCTGTATTTGGCGGACATGTTGCTTTTAAGTTTTAAGTTTTAATCAAAGTGCAAGATGATAATAAGAAACATATATTGCATTCCTGAGTAATCAGTTTGCAATACAGACACTGTAAACCCAACCACACCAAAACTACAAACTTTAGAACCTTGGTTCTGGTTATTGCTACAATGGAATTTTTTACTAGTTTACAGTGAAAGGCAACAGAAATTTTGTAAATCACAACCTTCCTTCCCAGAATTCCTAGAACTCAGGTAAAAAGCAATGCAATTGGACGTCCAGACCTTTTGCCTCTATGCTGTGCTCATGTCTCTATGCACAACTCCTGTGTATGGTCTATTGCTTCCCTCATCTTAAGTTTCCTTTCAGCAAAACCCAAGAATCTGTGAAGTCTTTGATACTGAGGAGTTATCAAGTCTTTAAACTATTTAGAACAGCCTCACTTGCCCAGAGACAATGCCTGCCTGTCATGGGATATGACCTGGTTGACACTAACCAACTTTTCTTTTGTTCTCTCCCCAGTCTGTGGACTGTCCACACTGGCTACCGGAGGGCGCATATTTGGAGGGCAGCACGCAAAGCCTGGCAACTTTCCTTGGCAAGTCTTATTACTGGGCGAATCTGTAGCAGCAGGTGCTCTTTTACACGACAACTGGGTTCTAACAGCTGCCCATGCTGTGTATGGGATAACAGAGGCAGTGTCCTCCCTGGACATCCGCCTGGGTATCCTCAGGCGGCTTTCACCTGACTACACCCAAGCCTGGGCCGAGGCTGTCTTTATACATGAAGGTTACAATCATGGTGCCGGTTTTGACAATGATATAGCACTGATCAAACTCAAGAACAAAGTTACAATCAATAGAAGAGTCATTCCTGTTTGCCTGCCAAGAAAAGAAGCAGCATCCTTGATGAGAACAAATGGCCTTGGAACTGTGGCTGGCTGGGGGTTAACCCAGAGTGGGTTTCTTGCTAGAAACCTTGCGTTTGTGGACATCCCAATTGTTGACCATCAAAAATGTACTTCTGCATATGAAAAGAAGCTCTACCCAGGAGGGAGAGTAACTGCTAACATGCTCTGTGCTGGCCTAGAAACTGGTGGCAAGGACAGCTGCAGAGGTGACAGTGGAGGGGCATTAGTGTTTCTAGACAATGAAACACAGCGATGGTTTGTGGGAGGAATAGTTTCCTGGGGCTCCATTAATTGTGGGGAGGCAGACCAATATGGGGTCTACACAAAAGTCATAAACTATATTCCCTGGATTGAGAACATAATAAACAATTTTTAAGTTGCATGCCTCCAATCAGTAAATTATTCCTTATTTTTACAAGTACCCGGAAAAGCTCTTAGTAACAGAATCCAAGAACCATCAATGGCCCATCCCAAACAGAAAAAGATCAAACCATAGGCACATGACCACTCACCAATGTCAACTCTGTCCACTCAATATGTTTATCGTTGCCACCCTGCCCCCAACTCACCTCAACTTGTATTTGATTCCCTACAACCTACTTAGTCCCCATTTCTGACCAACCAAGGGCCTGCTGTTTATTTTTCTAGTGTGTTAAGACTTGGTTTTAATGAGCTCTGAAAGTGCTCTTACAGATTACAACAGAATTGGTTCCAAAATATCCAATCATTTTTTCAAAGGTAAACTGAAAGCAGGTATGTAATTTTCCTATTAAGACCAATACCATAAAAACATTGTTTTGTCCATTTCCAGAACACTGGGATTATAGGCATATTCTAGCACATTTCATTTACCAAATTATCAGATAAAAAGAACATGGAATAGCACTTTATCCCTCAAAAGGGTGATCTAACAATGCATTTCAAAAGCCTTAAAAAATTGTATAATGTAGCAGACAACCCAACCTCTTTCTTTTGCTTCCACCAGCTAAATGCTTAAGAGATTACAGGTTTGTGACACCACACCCCACTGTATCTGGTACTAGCAATCAAACCCAGGGCTTTGGACATGCTAGCTAGGTAAGCCAACTAAAATACATTGTGATCTCACTCTCCTCCCCCCACCCCCAACTGTCACCTTTGACATAGCCTGTGTAGTCTAGGCTGAGCCTTAGCATCCCAAGTGCTGGTGTAAGTGTGTGCCACTACACCTGGACCATTTTTAAGCTGGCACAACTGGGACACAGGTGAGCCAAACAGATCATAGATGGCACAATAGCACAAAACTACTCAGTAGACCCATTCTCTCATGCAACAGCAATTCACCATGAAATAACTGACTTTCTCCTAAGATGCTGCCTTAATCTTAAAATGTCACATTTGATTGTACTAGGCTGTTCCAAGTTTTTGAGACAGGGTCTCACAACTGGCCTACAACTCAGATGTGCATGCTTCAGTTTCTGGGGTTAAAGGCATGTGCCCCACACCCACCCAAAAGGCTGAAAATGCTGTACTGTGTCTTCCCACAGAAGTCACTGTTTAACTTTCTATCATTTTTGTCATGAAACAATGTTTTTTTTTCCATTAAGACTCCAGACACTAAACTGTTAGTGGCAAGAAAACTTTTTATTCAACTGTGGTTCAAAGATTTCTATTTTAAGAATGAATGCATTTTGATGACCAATTACTTTCAAAACCAAATCTTTGCCAAGTAGTTTATTTCTAAAACTTCATTTAGGGCAAATAACTATCTACAGCTACGTCATACCATAGACATGTTAAAAGGCTACTCAACATTGAAAGCCTTCCATGACCAGTAAGTCTTTAACAAGTGCAAACAAGGGATCAAAACCATGCCATGGACAAGTAACTTACCCCAGGACTCCTGGACGGCTTGCCAGTTTAGTCTTTGGAGATCCCCGAAAACCATTTTAATGTTACCATGTTACTGCTGCTGAGTAATAGTGCAAGTGCTAAAATGCAAAATTCAGATGTACAGGGTTTGGAAATCATGCAGATTTAGATGCAGAGAAAAAAATTTACAATAACTCAAGATCCTTTTACAGAGGATACTGAATAATGAAACACTGTGTTCATAACAAGTCTCTAAAGGATATAAAATTTTAAAACATGCAACTTGCAAAATGACAAACCTATTTAGCATAATCTAATTCAGGTAAGGGCATTAGGAAAACTACCAACACGAAAAATGGTCAAGTTTCCAGTTAGAAAAGGAGCTCCCCAGTTCTCAGTAGTTACAGGAAGAGTACAACAATCAAGGTTTTATTGCTTTTACATTCTTACAATGCACTAAGTCTACTCTGACTTTGTGAGCATCATGATATGCCCCACACCCCAAAGGTTAAGAGCCCACTTCACTTAAGACTGCCACAGGCAGACAACCCTCCCCACTAGTTCTTAAAGCTATCAATCAGGCTTCTTAATGATTTCAGGCACACGGTTTCTTGTTTCTTCTACTTCATCCCTATTGCAATTAATTCCACTTTTCAAAGCCCCAACAGAAATATGCTCATCCCTTTGTTCCCATTGATATGGTCTGCTACAAAGCATTTGAAAACAACTGTTTTGCCCCCTCTCCCAAATCGTATTTTTAGAAGGCATGACTTCCCAATGGACATTTCTACATCCATGTCACTAGAAAAATCACTCAAATGCACAGAGGCACTCAGAATAAGCTGGAGGGCAACGGCTTACCATTTTAGGCTCTGTCACCCAGACTTATGAAAAACTAGATTAAAAAACAAAACAACCCATGAAAAAACTTTCACTTTGGACAATGCAAGAACAAATAGCAATTAAGTCTGGGTATCAGGTGTCAATGCATGACAGGTGATGAATCCATTTGACTTGAGACAACTTTTCAAATAAGTTTATTTGAAGCAAAATAAACTATTGCCAAGAAACTTTATGAAAGTTCCATCTCAAAAGGGTCAAAAAGGGGAATTAACTGCTATGAATTCTTTGCATTCAGGGCTGCAAAACAAAGACACATATTATTTAAATCAGTTTTATTTAAGAATTTCCAACAATGACAACTCTTATAAAAAGCATCCAAGCACAGGACACAGAACTGCAGCAAACAGCATTCTTATGTTTGCTAACAGACATGAGAACATCCACCCTCTTTGAGACACCTGAGCTCACTGGTGAACTCTGCTTCCAAGTTCTTCTGCAAAGCACACCACAAGCTCAGTCCATGTTCGCAGCCCATCAGCTTCAGTTCACGTGCCCACACTTCCAGATCAGTAACAGAGGAGAACACACACCATACAGCATTCACAGCAGTTGACAGAGGGGAGGGAAGTACAAGTATTTCACTTAACATTCAACTAAAGTGGGTTTTCTAAGAACAAAACTCAAAGTCTTCCAACAGATGTGGATGTCCTTTGATGCAAAAACATTCGTACATTATTGGCTATCATTGCTCTCTGCACACTCTCTCACCAAAGCCACAGGATTGGGTGACACATCTCTCCAAGTTAAAAAATATCCATTTTGCACCACCAAGTCTCTGCACGCGCTCTCTCCTGTCCTCGCTCATACTAGCCTTTCATGCCTCGGCACCACCATCAATCCCACACAAGGTTTCAAAAGTTCAAACAGCCTTCTGGTTCCATATCACAGCCTTGCGTTCATAGCGTTGATACGACTCCATGAAATAAAGAGTAGCGGATAAAAATGGAACACCCACCGTCAAAGACGCAGCCTGTGCAGCGTGATGACGAGTTCTTGGATGAGAAAGCATGTAGACAGAAGTATTCCTATGGCAGAATATTTACAGCACTACTTTCAATGAAGTGCTTCTTCCATAAACATTTGAAATGAGATGAACTGCAGAGATTAAATGAAGGCTTCATATTGTACTTTCGTATATGAAGGAAGACAAGTGTTAAAAACAAAACCAAAAGAACCAAACACCATGACATCATGATCTCCCAAATGGAGACTTTCCTAAGGAAAAAATTCATAGGGTGGGATTCAAATTAAAATGAGAAAAGAATGTAGTTCTAACCAATGGTTTCTACTCTGAACATGCAAAGAATCCATTTAACAAGTCCAATGACAGATTATTACAGAGAAACCTTCTGAGATCAATTGTAGTGTTGGTTTACCTATTAGGCAAACAGTTCACTTTCACCCACTCAGTATTTTAACCCTTTATATAACAAAACTTATAAAATTCATTAGCTTTTCCTCTTTTTCTAAAGAAGAATGTCAAAAATACTGCTGAATATACTCCCCACTGAACAAAGCAATCTGAAAATTTTAGTACATATGTATCTTACAATATACTTACCATGAGTTTAGAAAAATTTGAATCCCACCATTCTAGACCTACCAAGCTATCACTGAGCAGCCTGACTCCACGCCCACTGCCTACATGCCCCAGCCAGAGGATTTAGAATCCATGCTGGAGCCAAAGCCGCCATTGAAACCGCTGCCTGACCCTGCGTTGGAGGCCGAACCCCAACCAAGAGGAGCCCCAGAGTTAGAACCGCTGTAGGAATTATTTCCGGAGCCAAAAGCCTGATTTGGTTCCCTCTGCATGCTGCCCTGGCTTTGGTTATTACCAGATGGACCTGACTGGTTCTGCTGGCTGGCTAACATGCCCATCATACCCCAACTACTTTGCAATGCTGCCTGGGCTGCAGCCATCATCGCTGGATTAATGCTAAAGGCTCCGAAGTTCATTCCTCCACCCATGTTACCACCCTGGTTATTTCCCAAGCCAGCACCACCCCCTCTACTGTTGCCAAACCCACCCTGATTCCCAAAGCCACCTGGATTACCACCAAATCTTCCACTTCTTTCTAACTGTCTATTGCTATTATGCTTAGGTTCAGCATTGGATATATGCACGCTGATTCCTTTAATGATCAAATCCTCTCCACAAAGGGACTGGGCAACCTATAAGAAACAAGGATGTAAATGATAACTAAATCACCAACTCACACACCACCACAGCAATAAAACCAAAATTTTAGTATAACCCATCTAAGCAGAAGGAAAAATAATTAACGCTAATTTCACTTCGGTAATATTATCAACATTTGTAATTAAAAGATAGGTAACAGCCTCAAAGTCCACATAAGAACATTTATCTAAAGGACATGGTATGACTATCTAAACCCCCACACTCTACCCAGAGAAGGGTGGTCACCATTTTCCGTGCTGGAGACTGAGCTCAGCACTTAGTGTGCTATGTTGGACACATATGGGAGCACTCAGATAAATTCCCAGCCCCGATACAAATGAAGAAGAAAAATACCTTATCATCTGCAAAGGTAACAAAGGCAAAAGCCCTGAATGGTTTGGGAATGAAGACATCTACCACTTCTCCATACTGGCAGAAGAACTGCTGAAGCTCTTCAGCAGTCATGTCTTCTGTACAACGCCCAACAAACACCTTTCTGCTTCTCAAAGGCTCATCTGGGCTTTGCTGGTCAAAAGGAAGAGTAGAAAAAAAATACATAAAGGCATACTGTCACTGCCCCCCTCCCTTTGCTTTTTGAGACAAGGTCTCACTGTCTATCTCTGGATGGCCTGTGCCTGAGTACTGAGATTAAAAGGTGTGGGCCCTTGTAATCTTGAACCAAGTACATGTCTGGTGCCCTTAAAGGTCTGAAGAAGGGATTGGGTCACTCGGAATTATAGTGTTGTGTGTTGCCATATGGGTGCTGAAAACTGAACCAGTCCTTCTCCAAAAACAATTACTAATTAACTTTTCTTCCTCATTTCCTTCGGATTTCTAAAACAGGCTCTCCCGTTTTAAGGATGGCCTTAAGCTTGATATGTGAGGACAATCTGGAACTCCTGATCCTGTTACTACCTCCCATGTGCTAGAATTACAGGAATGTAATACCAAGAGACCATTATGTCACATTTGCGATAGAGGTTGATGCTAGCCATCTTTCTTAGTCATTCTCCACCTTCCTTATGAGGCTGGGTCTCACTGAACTCGTATTTGGCTAACTAGACTGGTAGCCAGGCAAACTCCATGAATTAGCCTGCCTCCCGCCTCCAGGGGTGGGATTACAAGTATATCTTACCACACCTAGCTGTTAAACACAGGACCCCAGCACGTAGAAGGCAGAGGCAGGCTGATCTGTGTTGAGCTTGAGGCCAGTCTGGTGTACAGAGTGATAGCTAGGACCATGCAGAGAACCCTGTCTCAAAATAAAGATGTGTGTTCCCGCCAGGCATTGGTAGCACACACCTTTAATCCTAGCACTCAGGAGACAGAGGCAGGCGGATCACTGTTGAGTTTGAGGCCACCCTGGCCTACTGAGCAAGTTCCAGGACAACCTCCAAAGCAATACAGAGAAATCCTGTCCCGAAAAACAAAGTATACTTTGACCCCAAAAGAAATGTTCCAAATAATTAAAGTCTCATTTGCTTGTTTGGCGTAAGTTTGGGCTGGGGTTATAGGCTCAGTGGTCAAGCACTCGACACTACTAGGTTTAATCAGGGTACTCACATCTCTCTGAGTTCCAGCCTGGTCTACAGAGTGAGTTCCAGGACAGCCTCCAAAGCTATAGAGAAACCCTGTCTCGAAAACTCAGAAGAAAAAACAAAACTCCCTAAGATTAAGCTGAGTGGTAGTAGCCCACACCTTTAATCTCAGCACCTGGAAAGCAGAGGCAGGTAGGTGGATACCGAGTTTGAGGCCATCCAAGGCTACAGAGACACCTGCCTTGGAAAACTTTTCCTGCCGTCAATGTTTCCAAATGCACTTAATTTAAGGTCTTTTAAAAGAAAAAAAATCACCCAAGCATACAGGAAAAGAGCAAAATACCTTAGAATTGGGGAGTTTACAGTCACACCATCGCCCATCTATCATATGTCGCTGTGACATCACTTTCACTTGGGTTTCATATTCCGTAAATCGAACAAAGCCAAACCCCTTTGAATGACCAGTTTTAAGATCTTTCTTGACCTAAGAAAAGAAATTTACTCTAATACCACATATATACCAAATCAGAGTTCACATAGAAACTTGAATGGCTTCAACTGAACGAAAAAGCACATTAAAGTTTAATGTTTAATAACGTTAGTCCAAGGCAAGAATCAATAGGGAATTGCATCATTAACAGGGAATGAATGACTCACGACAGAACTTAACAATGTTTTACAATGAGCACAAATATAATAGTTCTAATATGACCTAGTTCCTTTAAACCAGTAATTTTCAACTTTCCTATTGTTTTCACCCTTTAATACAGTTCCCACTGTTATGGTGACTCTCCAATCATAAAATTTTTGGTGTTACTTCCTAATAAGGATCGATACTGTTATGACCCATATATACAGAATAAACAAAAGGAAAGCTGTTACCCAGAATCAAGTTTACCTGAACCATAAGAACCTCTCCAAAAGTACTGAAATAGTCTTTAAGATCTTGTTCTGTTGTTTTCCAAGGGAGACCCAACACTATTAGATCAGATGTTTTCTGAACTGCTCTTTTCACTTTCACGGCCGAGGAAGCATCTGTCTCATCCATTTTCCTTTTGTTATCTAAACAAAGCGAGCATAAACCCATATTTAGCAGTTCTTTAAAGATAGGTGGAGCTCTGTGAGTTCGAGGCCAGTCTGGTCTGCAAGCTAGTTCCAGGACAGCCAGGGTTATACCCCGTCTCGAATGACCACCCCATTCTAGTTTTATATTATCTTATTGAAAATTGATCTGTATACACATTTGTAAGCCGTTTCTGGACTTCTGCCCTGTTAGGCTGCAAACCACTGCAATTGCCCTTTTAAGTGTGTTCTAGAGGTAGACAGGATGTCTGTCTTGCTCTGCAAGTGTCTTTACCAAATCAGCTATCTCCCTGGCCCAGGATTTCAATAATGTAGGATTATAAAATCAACTGCATGTCCTCCTCAAAACCTGTATCTAAATCAATGCAATTTTACTTCCTTTTAATTTTGTGGCATGGAATTTATCTGACTGATCGAGGGTATCAGACACCTTGTGATGTATAAGGTGTACAGAAAAATACCCACATACGCAATTACATACATAAAAAGAAAATTTCCACATATAAACTTGGGTGCCTTTTGTCTTATCCAGACTTTCTGCAATACTGCTTGCTTACAGAGATGTGGTCTCATTCTGCCACCAAAACTGGTCTCAAAAAACTGTCTTTTGCCGGGCACTGGTGACGCCTTTAATCCCAGCACTGGGGAGGCAGAGGCAGGTGGATCTCTTGTGAGTTCGAAGCCAGCCTGATCTCCAGAGCAAGTGCCAGGATAGACTCCAAAGCTACACAGAGAAACCCTGTCTCGAAAAACACCAAAACCAAAAAAAAAAAAAAAAAAAGGGCACAGTGAAAAATTAAGTTTACCCACCTGTATATTACATGACCCTATCTTTAAATCTTCCCAAATTTTCCCCTTTTTTGGATAGGGTTTCTGTGCAACAGCCCTGGGTGTCCTCCAACTCAAGAGATCTGCTTGCCTCTGCCTCCAGAGTGCCAGGATTAAAGGCACCGCCTGGCTCCTCCCAAATTTCTTATACAGTCTGAATACTGACCAACTTTTTGGTGGACTGACCTTGGTTGTGTGAGATGTCTCACATAGCCCAGACTGGCCTCAAGCTCTCAATTTTTCTGCCTCACCTCACCTCCCAATGCTGGGATTACAGGTACAAGCAGCACTTAGTCGGAATATTAAGGAAACCAACAATGTACCAATTCCCATGCAATCAGTCTTCTACAGAGACACCCTGTCTCAGGATTAGAGGCAGGGAGAATAAGACCCGAAACCTAAAACCAAAGTAGTCCTATACTAACTCAAGATTTGGGCCACCACAATTGATGTTTATTTAAGGAGGGAAGAGGTTAACTTCAACAAGAGAGCCGGAGGTCCTCTTCTGGAGGATCAGGGTTTGGCTCTCAGCACCGACAAGGCTGCTCAAAACCATTCAATTCCAGTCTCAGGTCAGATGTCCCTTTGTACCGGGTCCTCTGGAAGAGCAGCCAGTGAGTGCTTTTAACCACTGAGCCATCTCTCCAGCCCCCAAGGCATTGAGTTTTAACAGGCTAAATTTGGCATCAAATGGGTAATGACTGTTCCAATGGCTAAACATTTAAATAGATAATCCTAAGGAAGAGTCCTGCAATTCTCAATTATCACTTACTTAGACTGGGGACCTGCCAGAGTGGTCTAAACAAAAGAACTGGGTTGTAGAAGACATTTTGCCATGAAGGCCAAACCCCAGGTATGAAGCTTAATAGACTACTTGCCTGGCAAACATAAAGCCCTGAACTAGCCGGGCGGTGGTGGCACGCGCCTTTAATCCCAGCACTCAGGAGGCAGAGGCAGGCGGATCTCTGTGAGTTCGAGACCAGCCTGGTCTATAAGAGCTAGTTCCAGGATAGGCGCCAAAGCCACAGAGAAACCCTGCCTCAAAAAACCAAAAAGCCCTGAACTAGTACCCGCCCCCACCCCACAAATAATTTACAACTTAGGATGGCATACAAGCCCAGGTGTAGTCAGCAACAGGGCAAAAGCCAAAATGATTAACAAACCTTTGGGATAGTTGACCACATATACCAGATTGCCCCAGCCAGCATCTGGGGCATGCAGAATTCCTTCCACCAGCCGGACACCCCTCATACACTGAGACACTGGATTCCGGTATCGAAGGCCACATGCCCCTGGAAACTGGGCAGTAACTGTGGACAGCAATACTGTTCCGTCGTCTTCTGAGGGTATTTCAATGGGCTCATCGTTCTCGTCTTCTGTTACCCGAATGTATTCAGACATCTTTGCTTAGTTTTCTAAAGGGAAGAGATGAAGAACCAGATAAGAGCAATTATCTCTTTATAGTTAGCCACCACACAACCCTATTCCCACTTCCTGAAAGATTCTCTCCCCCACAAACCTAACGTTCCATTTGTCATCCCTGAAAAATCGAGGAAAAGGAGGGAGTTTTCTAAAATAAAAACGATTTCTCATCCTTTTCTGTCTTTTTTTTTTTTTTAACCAATTCACTTATCTCTCAGGACTTGCTATATGCTTCAGGGGTTAAAACGCCAACAGTACCAACCTGGCCTGCTGGTTACAAAAAACCAAACAAAAAAAAAAAAAAAAAAAAAAAAGAAAACAAACAAAAACAAAACAAAGTGTTAAGGAACTAAGTACTTGTGTCCCGACTATTTTTCTCTTGCAGACACCGTTTTTCTCACCTGGAGCGCAAAGGTTACAGACTGCAGGATCTCCTCACCACCCTAAGGGCTGAGCCTAAACTGGGGTCTAGCACGTGCTTTTTTCAGAGGGCGGGAGGGAGGCAACGACGA